ACAACAACCACAACCACAGCAACAACAACAACAACGACGACGACGACGACAACAACGACAACGCGCCAAAGGCACTGATCGCACGCGCCAATTCAAGAAGGAATGCCGAAAACGTCGTCCATTCCGAGTGATTCGTGGTTTGCACCACACCCCGACGGAGTGCAAAAGTTGCTAATGTTCTTCCAAATTCGCTGCGCCTTCCACGCGTCGCTCTGTCAAAAAAACACATTGCAGCATGCTTCACATCGCAGTAGTGCCACGGATCGCATCCCACCGGGGTCAACTTTATTACGGTTCCGGCATGGATGCTTTGCGTGGACAAATGGGGTCGGGGTGGACGTTATTACGGTTCCGGCATGGATGCTCTGTGGGAACGGATGGGGTCTTGCGGCATGTGCGCGATTTGGGCTTTAGCCAGTGCCGAAAGCAGTGTACCCACCGGTGTGTTCGGCATGTGACCCAAAGGAAAAACCGTAAATACCGAGGGAAACGGGATGTGCGCGATTTGGGCGGTTGTAGCAAGCGCCGAAAACAGTGGCCCGTGTATTCGGCATGTAACCCAAAGCAAACACTGTAAATACCGAGGGAAACGGGAGGCGCGGACTGCGCGCAGTCATGGCATCTGGAGGGAACAACAACAACGACGACGACAACAACGACAATAACAACGACAACAACAACGACAACAACAACGACAACGACAACGACAACGACAACCACAACAACCACAACAACCACAACCACAACAACAGCAGCAACAGCAACAACAACAGCAGGAACACTCCTTGCAGCGAAGCTACCGCAGTGCTGCCCTTGGCAATGCAAAAGCTCAAGGCGATTGGCTCTGATTGGAATGGCTGCGGAGTGAACTCACATCATGATTGCAAGGCGTGTGAGGGCATGCTTCGGCAGTGGATGCATCTTGAAGCGACAAGCTGGGTATAGCTGGGTGGGGACGTGGGCAGCCAACGAAAGGCACCTTCAGGATCAGATTCCACTCGAGGCGGTTCGAAGGAGGATTTCCTGATTCTCTGCTCCTGATCTGGAGCGACTAGTACCGGCTCGCCCAACATCAACGACATGCTCCAGCGGGCCTTAAGTTTTAAGTGCCAGCTGGTGTCCTTCCCGAATCTCCTCTTTGAAGTCCACCGTCGTCCCATGGCCGAAAGTTGCCTCAGCCTGGAACACGAGCAACGCATGGTGCATTCTGCCACCGTACATCAAGGCTGCCTGCATGTCGCGCGAATAGCGCTCATGGAGTTGCCGCCAGAGGCATCCGCCGCGCCCCCGCACTCATCCCCGGAGACTGGAAAGTGCTTGCCGTGGCGAAACGGCTGCACGGTTGAGCCAGGAGCACTGCCATGTCCATGCATCTGCGAGTCAGCTCTCCAACTGAAAATGAAGCAATTCAAGTCCAACCGCTGCACTGGTGCTCGGCGCTGCCTGGTCCCCACTTCCAAATGCCTCAGCCGATTTGCACATACAGACCCACAAAATCTGCGCGCTCGTTCCCTCTGCAAGCTGTTCTCCCAGCTTCATCAAGCACCCTCAGGTCGCAGCCGGGGTCCCAAAGCTGGGAGTGCTCTGAGGACTGGATTCCTGCGAACCGACTGCCGTTTGGTAAAGTGCCCCTTGGAGAGCGACTGTGGTGCTTTCGTGCCTGCCACTGTCAGCCTCGTGACATTCCCCCGTCCAGGGCCAGAGGAAAGAAGCTTTAACGGCGCGCACAACACCTTCTGATGGATATTCTGCGTGTGGAGAGACGAACAAAAGTAGAAAGATAATGCAAATCAAACTGGTAGATATATGTATGCATGCATGTACTCTGCGTGCAGGGATGCATGTCCCGAAAGCGGCTTGTGAACACTGTTGATGTGGTTTGCCTATGGCCTTCAAGGACTGTCTCGTATTTTCGGCGGGCAGGACTAAACTTCCTTCGCATCTGATATGCAGCGTCCTCATCGTGGCTCCAGGAGACTGGGCCACCCCCTGCAGCATCCCCGCCTTTGACTTCGATTTCATTAACGGACGATTGATGTGTGAGATTCCGGTTATAACACAGGATCCCCCTCGCGCATAAACATGCACAGAAGAGACAGGCGCAGACGCAGATTCGGTCGCCAACCCGCTTTGTTATAGTTATTAATAGAGCCAAACTACATGATTTGGATAATGGTTCAGGACACTTGAAGCGACAACCTAGCTTGGCATTGGTAGCAAAGCTGACGTAGATAAGCTGGGGGCCCAACATAATATGACACAGCAAACAAACAACACACGACGTGGCGTAGAACGAAAACTCAGACGATTACTACCTAACACTCCTCGCTGCTGATGCCTTGTCCTGTACAGTAGGAGGCCGGCTCTATTGATGCAACCAAGGATTGCATCTCTGAAGATCCGAGTCACCGACAAGCTTTTGCTTCATTGCACAATGCTCATCAGGCAATTCAGCAGCGCACACACGAGAGCCTGAGCGCCAGGCAAGCGCTGAAAGGAAGCAACCTGCGTCAGCTGCTGATCTGACTGAAGGCAGGTTCCATACGGAGCGAAGCTAATGGTGCGGTCTGACAGCTTATGACGCTGTGTTGGTGTCGGTTGCTGGCAACTGCGGTTTACTGGTGCTCCCAGCAGGTCTCGACTCTCACGGCTGGCAAAGTTCCACACCAAGTCTGCATGGAAAGGAAGGGAGGGGAGGGGAGGGGAGGGNNATCACTCCAAGTTGAACATCCTCCAGCGTGGTCCCCTCTGTCTTGCTACCCGCCAGATCGACGTGTAGATGCATGCCGAGAAGCCAGGCACGCTGCTGCTTTGCGAAGTGAAGCCTGTCCAGACGCATAATGTCTTCTTGTTGGACTTATGCTTCTTCTTTTCTTATAGTCAGTCCTCTGATTTCTCGTTATCGTTGCTATTGTCACCGTTTCTGTTTGTTGAAGACGCCGAGCGCCTGGCACTGCTCAAGAAGCTCTTGCAGGCAGCAGATTCGGCTTCGATGGGGCACAGAAAAGCCAATCAGAGCTGATCTACCTCATCCTTCGTGGATGCTCCGCAAGTAATACAGAGGCCTCAGAAGATAGTTCTTGTGGTCATGTTTAATATACTTAGGTATTGCATTGCACGTTTTTGCCGTTTTGCATTTAGACGTTGACGTTTGCTCTCTTTTGCCTCTCATTGATTGCCCGCAACAGTCGTCCGAGCCCTGGGAGCTGGTAACCAAAGCCGACATCTTCGGGCTTACTAGCATACGATTATTATATAAGACTATATTAACATGCTACAATAATATACTACAACTACAAGGACTCCGCCAGACGAGGTTTCTCGGTTCGACTACACGCAACACAGAGGCAACAAGAAGCTCGGATCGGGCGACACCAGAGGACTCCAGCCCAACACAATAAAAGGGCATCAACCCCCGAGCACACAAGGCTCATTGGCCAAGATCACGCGAAGCAAGATGCGCGTAAGAGGAGCTAACCCCTAAACTGCGATCCACAGATTAGCTTGAAATTCAAACTCGAATGTTTCTACGTGGCAGCGTACATTGTGACGCTGGTGAGGCAAACGGTAGCACGGCAAAAAGCAAGTTCCCCTTGGTCTTCTCATCACTCCCTTCGGAATTCGGGATTCCGCCAGGGCCCGTAGCTCCCGCTCTTCATCTGCATAGGTTCGCTTGGGATCGCCATCAGCAAGCCAGAGGAGCTTCAGATGATCAATCACCAGGTTTTGGCGAGGAGAAGACGGTGTAGGAGTTTGAAAAGCAAACAGGTCCATTCCTGACGCTGACGCTGCATCAGTGATCGCAGTAGTCGTTCGAGATGCGGCATGTACACCTTCATACGTTTCCAGGTTACATCGATCCTTGTGCTGTTTGCCAAGATGTCTCGCATCTGACTGAGCATGCTGTCTGCAGGCAGCTCCTTCACGAACCCCAAGCCACCGCAGGCATACTGCTGAACTACACAGTATGGTGCGCTCTTTCACGCACGCGTTCATCAGAGTCCAGGCAATGAGAGAGCACGTCAGCAAGATTGTTGCCGACGGTCTGGCGGACATAGTCTTCAGCAAAATGGGTCTGTTCTCGCAAGCATTATGCAGCAGAACTGGCACTCGACGCGCTTCTGGCATTCGACGTTGTCGGGAAAAGCTTCGGAGTGTGAGACGACGCGGTCCGCACCACCAGAAAATGAGAGGATCGAGGCAGACGTGTCCAACCTGCCAAGCTCGGCCACGTGTCATAGCAAGGCCTCGAGTCTCCGAGTCTGTTCGGATATCACACGCCAGACCCGCATGTCTTGCACAGAAAAGTACTCCAAAAGAGTAGGCAACATATCGCATGCCGAGTGAAAAAGATCGGCAGGATCCTTAGCCGCATCGAAGATCGATTTCGCTGTGTCGATCGGAGCCATGGAGGCTCCGCTCTTTTGCTTCTTTTCAGGCGTGTCAACCGGAGTTGAGGTCCCATGGTGAAACGGAGCGCTCCAGGCAGATCTTCCTTGATGCTGGGCACCTCGTCATCATTCATCTCGGCTTCAGAGCTGCATGCCTCGTGGAGGCGCGCAGAGTCTAAAGGCTCCTTCGCGGAATCGTTGTGCTGCCAACGTATTCTTGGAGAAGGTGAAGACTCAACGCTTTCTTCTTGTCTGCGCTGATCTCCCCTTGCTCCTCCACGAAAGGCATCGTCCCGCTCCGGGTCTCCGCCTCTCCCGGAAACTGATGGACCGGCAGCGCATCGCAAGAATCTCCAGGTAGCGAGCTGCTGCAGTTTGGTGGTGACGGCGGTGGGATCATGAGCTCGTCCAATCAGCATTCCGTGATGGACCTGTGACGGCTCTCCATCGCGCATGTCGGCCAAGGCTCCCTAAGCATCAAGGCTACGAGGTCGTTTTTGTTCAGGATTACTTTGGCTTGGCCCGTTTGCCGTTTCTGACGAGATCCTGTCCCCAGCGAACAGTCGCTGTCTCGCTGCGTCCTTGGAACTGTCAACTGCTAGGCAGGTCAGGTAGAAGCTCAACGTGCGCCTCCCCGCAAGCCAGGAGCGTCCCGGACTCATCGCTCGCAGACATCTTCATGTCGTGCATGAGCCGCCTGACCTCTTCAAGCTCCTGGCCCTGGATGCAAAGCGCGTTGCGCAAGGTTTCGTTGTCACTTCGAACGGCATGGCACTTCCAGCGCGAATGGAATTCACGGAAGGACCGGGAGTCTTCAACAATCAGTCCGGGCGCAAACGAGGGTGTCGGAGCACCACTGCATGGAACCGGCGACGTTGGCAACCACTCCCAGCACGAAAAGAACTCGCCAGAGGGCGCGGAATGCCGACACATCTCCGTGATGGTCGGAGCACCACTGCATGGTGTCCGCGACCTGCTGTCAGCTTCGAACAACTGCGCAAGCTAATGAGGCACGTCGCGGTTGGGGAACTTGGCATAGCAAGAGCACCATGCATGAGCAGCTGCAGTATCTTGATCAACAAGCAGGCTGAGCGCTTGAGCCGTAGCCATGGGTGTAGGGTTTAGGGCGACAAATTACGTGACAAACATCCCCCTTTCCCACTCCTTTCCCGACCAGCCCTGACCAAGACATGTCGCTTCTGTTTGCCGTATCTGTTGAACTTTCCTGTGGCGACAGCATTATCTGCGTCGGAATTGGCTCAGAACATCCCCTTCCCTTTTTTGGCTCGCGGGTCTCTGCGTCTCAGAGCTGGGGGCAGATTCGCTGAGGGCAGATTCGTGAAACAGGACGGAATAAACGGATGCACTGGTCATGAAGGCAACCGGCATCCTGCACCTGCCTGGCATGGAAACCGTCCCTGAACAAAATCCTAAGATTTCTGGAGCTAAAGTTGAGAGAAGTAGAAGCCACGAGTACGAAACCTCTCCAACCCAAACCAAATGACTAAGAATGCAAAGTGAAAGTCGCACTTTCTGCACTCCGGACACAGAGGTGGGGAAGTGTGCTGGAACGTGCTGCACACATTCTCTTGAAGACTAGGCGACTAGGCACAGCACCTGGAGCAGCATGGGGGTTTAATTACCAGAGGTGACACTCGCTCATACTTTCATAATCACGTTGGGGAATCGAAAAGGCTGCCAGGACAGCACTGCTTTCGTGCGGGAAGACTCTGGCATTTTTTGAAACTCATGAACCGAATTTGGTTGGCCATTCTGCAAGGAGTCAGAGCACCCGCTAGCCAGACCAGCGAGCAGGCGGCATGCAACCTCCATTTCCATGGGGGCCAACTTGTAAAAACTCGGCTGGTGACAATGTGAAACGGCTCACATCTGAAAACTGGGAGTGGATCTGGAAATCACCAGCTCTTCCTCGTTCATGCTTTCGTTGATGTTGGCGAAGAGAGGGGTCGAAAAGTATCGCTCGCCAGTGTCCGCAAGCAGGACCAGCAAAACAGACCCTTCAGGTGCCTTCTTCGCCAACTCGACCGCTGCATGCATGGAGGCCCCTCCAGATATGCCCGTGAAGATGCCCTGCGTTCTTGCAAGCATCTGCGACATGTTCACTGCGGCCGAGCCTGGTACGGCCATGTACTCGTCATACCCTGGTGAACCATCCACACCATCCTCGACAATTTTGGCGATAAAATCAGGAGTCCATCCTTGAATGGGATGAGGAGCGAAGAAGGGGTGGGAGCCTGTGGCGGAGCCATCTGCTCTCCGCTCACTTTTCTGCCCGGAAGCCAGCAGAGGCGCCTCCGCGGGCTCTGCCAGGCAGATCTTCACCTCAGGTCGGTGTTCTCGCAAACGCCGCCCCGCCCCGACAAAGGTTCCACCAGTCCCGTAACCGAGGACGAAGTAGTCCAGCTGTGCATCCTCGAAGTCGCTGAGTATCTCCAGTCCGGTGGTGTTATAGTGAAACTCGCAGTTCGCTGAGCTTTCGAACTGATGGCACAAAAACCAACCGTGCTTTTTGGCCTAAGCGCACATACACACACATATGTATGTATATATATATATACAGACGGATAACGATAATCTGACAACTAGCAAAACGGCCAGGCTGCAAGCTCCTGAGCTTTGACCACCATGCCGGTACCTTTGCCAGCCCGCGGCGTGACGATGACCCGAGCACCCAGATAGCGCATCAGCTTTCCTCCGGGCCGTTTGGGATAGGGAGGAGCTCTTCTTTGGTTTAAACAGGAGCCTCAGGATTGTTCACCTCCAAAACCCGAAGCTACTGCAGGATGCTTGTAGCATCTCTTATTCACGAGCTTCGGCTGCTTAGCAAAAATGCGCAAACATAAATATAAATATAAATACAAATATAAATATAAATATAAATATATATATATATACACACATATTTATATGATTCCCTAACCGAAAAAACCTTCATCCGAGTCATCCAAGGATCGCCTTTCCAAGGAGAAGGACTCAGCCATCGTGATGACCTCAACTCTCGGCTGGCTTCTGAGCTCCTCCTAAAAGTTAAACTTTTAGCCTACTAGTTCTAGTTTATGTAGCAACCCAAAAATTTAAAGTCCTCAAGAACTAGGCAAGGCTAACCCAAGGTACACTTGCGGGGCTACAGTATACAGGTCACACTTTTTTTTCGGCTCCAAATTTCGGCGTCGTTGCATTTTGTGCCTCTTCTATACCTATACATCTATATCTAAACTTATATGAATCTGTATCTATGAATACGTCTATAAATAAACAAATAAACACATACATACATACATACATACATACATACATACATACATACATACATACATACACACATATATATATATATACTTATATTTATTGTTTGTCAGAATATTTACTTGTCGATAAATGTATGTATTAATACGTGCATATATATATATATATCAACATCTCTATATATATATATATCTTTCGCCTGGGGTATCGGGCAAGGGAATATAAATATATATATATATATATAGATCTCTCTCTCTCTCTCTTTCTCTTTCTTTCGCCAGGGTAACGGACTAGGGGGAGACCCCCTAGCCCGCGCGCGAGTGCGCCCCCGTATGTTACGGAGGGGATTAGTAAAGACAAAACTGCTCCACAAGGCTTCTGGAAGTAGCCATGGCATCCAATCGGGAACATTGAACAACAAACCCAAGTGCATGAATACGAAGAGAAATGTCCCCGGTTAGTGGCAAAGGTGGAGCTTATTTTGGCTCAAGTGCCGCACCTTTGCTTAGGGGTCTGTGCCACCCCTTTGCATCGGGGAGGGGGGTGACTGGTTGACTAGGGGGTGTCTCCCCCTTGGAAGCCAGCTCACTCGACTCCTGCGGTGCTTGAGTCGTACGCCCGCCGCATTTGGTTTAAGTGGCCCAACTTGGCTGTTCCCCTCGTGCCGCCATCGTGCTGTACGGTGCGATCGTAGCCCCACGCGACCTCGCCATCGGAGTTGTCCTCCGTGAGTTCGGTGGCCCTGAGCCCGGAGGCGATCTTCCAAAGGAGAGTGGCTGGGTGAGGGATTACCCGTACGTCAAGTTCGTGACTTTGGCAAAGACGAAAAGATAGTTATCCTTGCACTTCGTTGGAAGCATGGCGACAACAGGGGCACACCCCTTACCTTCTGGCGCAGCTATGCCTGGAGAGCAGCTCTCCAAGATGCTGAACGACAGGGGCATGACCCCTCTGTGCCAACCAGATCCTCAACCCCTTCTTCTTCTTCCTCCGGGGGACACCCCACATCCGCCACAGAGCCCTGCCAGAAGGACCCGAGGGACAAAACAACTCTGCCGGTGGTCGTGAGTGAGTGAGCGAGGCAGTTTCTTTCAGGGGGAAAGCCCGACACCCATTCTTGCAAAGGCCCTTCTAGGGGGAAGAAGGCCAATGCTGCGAAGGGCTGTGCTGGTGTGCATGTTTCTCTCCCCACTCTTGTCCATACGCCTTTTCGATCCATCCGAGGATAGTAGTTTCCGTAGGGGACACCCCCTTTAGCTCCAATTTTAAAGCCTTTTCATTCTGACGGGCCGCTGAGCCATTCCAAACACCTGAAGCCGTGCCCCCGCCCTGGGGCGACCATTGTAGCATTTACTTGTACCATACCAGAGCACTGAGCTGCTCTCCCATGTCAATTCAGGAGCCAGCACTTGTTCCCTTGAAGTGTGAGGTTTGTTCAGGTTCTTGACTTCGGTTGGTTGTGGGCTGGTGTGCCTCTGGTTGAGTCGGGGAGCTTTTCCTCTAACCCAGGCAGTACCTTCTTTCAAGCTTCTAGCCCTTGGTGCAACCAAAACCAAGGCAAAGCTATCTCTCTCTCTCGCTCTCTCAATATACACGTTGTTGCTTTGGGTTCAGGGCGCGTAAGGGCGTTGTGTTTCTGGGCCTGGCCTGCTCAGGCAAGGGCTCGCTTGATCTTCTCTCCGCGAAGCTGCAAAAGGCTATTTGGTACCGATGTACCCATAATCTCATTAGGAGGGCCGTAACATCATATCAAGTAATGTAATGTAATATACACAATCATGTATGTATATATAGGAGAACTGCACGTAATTTTATATTGTAATATCAAATTGAAGTGAGATAGTAAGAATAATACAATAATACAGCAGCACAACCGAATCATAATCGAAGGTAATATACTGTTGAGGGAGAGCGCTTGAAGCTGAACGGATGGTTCGGGCGCCGCAGTTTTAAAACCTCTGTTTGCTGAGGAGGGCTCGGCCGTTTCGTGAACCCCCGTGAGGCACTTCCTGCGATCTTCACCGATCATCCTCGATTGCTTCTTACCTCTGGAACCGAGTCTCAGATGAAGGCACGGCACGAAAGTAGGTGCAAATAACAGTCTGAAAGCTTTCTCGAGTTAGTAAGTCACGGTGCTGTGGGCTCAATATGGGCCCACTGTAATCCACTGTACTAAGCTTTGGGGTTGCAAATGCCTGAGACACGCACATGCTGGTGCCTGAGGCGAGCACGCACTTGTAGCCCCGCTGCGCGCACACCATTGCCAAGGCGATGCCTTTGCAGGGTCGATTCGGTTGCTCAACGCTTGAAGAGTTCGTCTGCGAGTCTGTCGTGAGAAGCTGCCCTGGCCACCGCAAACGACACAGCTGGATGCAAGGGCAAACAATAGCAAATAACCTCCCTCAGCGCCAAGCTGCGACTAACACCACTACAACCAGAGCATCACTCCCAGCTACGAAGCTAAACGAGAATGGGCCTGTGTTTCCAGACGTCGCTTCTATCACGGTGTCTCCGGGTTTGAGGAGCCCTCTACCTCGGCGAGGTTTGAAGCATTGAAAACGCACTGGTGTCGCTTGCTTTCTGGTTGCCGCAAAGCTCCCGGATGCGGTTCCGGAGAGACTGGCGGGTGTAAGATTAAGATAAAGCTAGCGATACATTCGCGCCAGGCGTCGCTCGGCATCCTCAATAACGCCGCAAGCCAACCGGTCCTCCGTCGCATGTTGCGTGGGTGCTGAGGTACTGAGAGCATTCAGCTGTGTCCTTGACGCTCGAAAGCGGGTTGAAGTACTCGAGCTTGGCATAGATAGTCCTACCTGACTTTATCAGGGAATCAGGGATCAGGAGCTGGAAGTGTTGCTCGGGCTTCTATACAGGTTGCCACCCGATGAAGTGCTAACTTTGCCCAAGATGGACAGCCAGCGGTGTCTCAGATGTGGCATGTGGCCGGCCAGCGTGTATGTATATGCAGTGATGGTAGTAACAGCAGGAAAAGCCTAGATGAGAGACACAACAACATGCAAGCAACGCCGGCCTGTAGGACAGATGGCCTTGGAGATTCGGATGCAGGGAGTGTCTCCGACGGTCTGGGTGACCTAGATCTCACACTGGAGTCTGCCAAACCAGATGCGGACTGGCGAAAAGCAAAGAGACAATAAGAACAAGAGCCAATCCCTGTTGCATTCCCACTCTCATCTAGTACTGCCACTGTATGCTCCCAGCACGACTGGCAGTGCTACAAGGGGTAGCTTTATGTCGCCCTATGGCGCGTGAAGTCGCGACACTGCATAGTCACGCAGGAACATGTGAAGTTACACCAGGGCGTTTGAAGTCACGTCACAAGCATAGCTGCACATCGCTTTCCCCAATGGCCACGCGCTTCCTAGCACATTCCTGGCACAGACCTCAACTTACGAGTGCCACGCGCAGGCTTTCTTAGGAAATTATGTCCAGGAGCCCTGAAAAGTCTGCCAGTTTGGCAACTAATCACAATGTGCACACGCTTTCAGACATGTATAACAGGCACCCGCTCAAGACACGCATCATTGGCATCATAGCGCACGAAGACTCCAGCAAAACCAGCCGTTCCCCATGCAAGCAGAGGCACCCGCTCATCACAAACAGCAGTAGAATCACAGCACTGCAAAACCAGATATTCCCCAACTATACGCTCAATTTCCCAACCCCCATGTGCGTCCGAATGAAAAATACCCGGTCCTAGATCAGTGGATGGGATCATTGCGTTGTGGCCTAACCTGGAATGGGGCCTGGGGTTTGTCAAGGTTGCGGCTCAAGTTTCAAGACGTTGGGAGTGTAGTACTCGATTTTGAAGGCTTCCGTATCCAGAATCACGGTATCATGAAGTGCAAAGAGCTTAGCCCCACGTGCACGCGCAAAGACACAACATCAAGTCCATGTCCATGCCGATTGCCGGTACTTGTTCAGGATAGCTTCCCCCAGTGTCCACGCGAAAGAGGTATGACTTCACACAGCGCAGTATGACTTAAAGCACCCCTTGTGCAAGATTCTCCTCTGCCAAGGAGCATTGTCGTAAAGTCGACCTCGGCCTTTGCCACGGTCGCGTGTGCCCGCCAGAAGGGAAAGACCAGCTTTGGCCGGTAGACAGCTCCAGCACGACATGGCAAGGTCCCACTATATTAAGCTAAACAATAGTCTCTGGTAGTGTATGTTTGTTGTAGAATACATTATACACCACTGTCGCACTTTCTGTAAATCTGTATATATAGTTATAAGTTATAACTTATAACTTAGAGTAGCTTGAAATCGTGGGACAGCTGGAGTGGGTGCTTCACTGGGTTATGGAGGGTGGGTTGCTAGTGGAAGCCACGAGTCAAGTGGCACGCAGAACGTAGCTTGAGAAGGCAGTGCTATCGGTGTCGACGCCCAGCCGTCCCTGAATCCTTGTCCCAGCACCTCGTCGTCTCGGCACCGAAGTGTGGGAAGTGCGAACTGGCAGGGCCTGTTAGCTTGGCAAATGCATATCTCGGCCGTACAAACAGGAAACTGAACAACTAGTCAATGTACATGGCACGTGCTATCGCAATCAACTAGGCTAGTCTTGGCTTTGCTAAAGAACCCGCAGGGGCTGGTGAGAACGAAGGAACGGCAGATTGACAACGGCTCACCTTCATGTTGACAAGTGCTGCAGTGAGGAGCTTCCGGACTGTCACACAATCAGCAGGAAAAAGGTGCACCACGACTCGAGTGCGTGAACCGTGCTCGCATAAAAGTCGGCCTACAGCATCTGCAGCACGTCGGCAGCAGGTTGCAAGCCAAGTGGCTCCAGCAACGCTTTCAAGAGTTGCGACGTTTCACTGCGGCCGGCTTAGTTGATGCCGTCCGTTCATGTGCGCGCATGCCATGTGTGTGCGTGTGTGCGTGTGTGCGTGTGTGTGTCTCTGTC